AAGCATTTTTGTCGAAAGACCTGTTTAGCCCGTCGGATGACAACAAACCTAAATCACGAAATGTATACAACCAAAAATTATTAATAAATTAGGAAAATATTCATTTGATAATGTAGAAATTTTCATTATTACTTATATGATCAAATTACAAGAAACAGTTGCCTTTTTTTCTTTACATGTAAGTACTGGAAGTAATTATTCTTGACATACTCTTATTTTACCTAATTCAGAGAGTTGATAGGATGTTTTAGAAAGTAAACTTAAGGCTCCACTACATACAATCGCATTATCGCAATCTCCAGCTTTAATAGCTTGGTAAGCTTTTTGAATTGCTACTGCACTTGATGTGCAACTTGAATCAATACTACAACTTGATCCAATTAGACTAATAACAAATGAAATCTGATTTGATAGCATAGCACGGCAATTACCAGTTAAAGAATATCCATCTTTCTATTATGAAAATAAAGCGAATTATACATAAAGTTAATTTACATTTGTTTGGAATCCATTATATGAATCTATTAACTTACCTTTCCTTTAATGTTTATAGCATTAACATCTGACTCATATAAACTCAATACCCCGTAAACATTGATTTTCTTGTCGCGTAGCTCTGCAAGATTTATTCCAGCATCAATGATTGCTTCAAACGTAGTTTCAATTGCAATTCTTGATTCTGGCGACATATTATTTGACTGTAATGTACTAATTCCAAAAGAGACATTGTCGAATTTCGTTAAACTAGAAATTGTTCCCAAACAAGATGGTATTTTAGACATAGAATCCAGAAAAAAATCATGTGTGCAGATCACACGTGTTAAAAGTGAAACCTTCAAAAATCTACGTTTCCAAAGAATGAGACAAATGCACAGTTTCAAGAGTAAGATAATTGTAGGATTTATATAATATAATATTATTACCATATATAATAAAGATCACCGGTATGGTCTCTTGGTGGAATAGCTGATAAAAAGTACACTTTTCCAAATTCAAGCAATAAAAATAGAATGTTAAGTGCGATAGTCGTAAATAGACACCAAAATCGTAGGATATTTATCGAGGAAAATATAATGCGTCGTAAAGGGAGGCGCGTCGATCGCTTGAAGGGAAAACAGCGTGCGTGGGAGTAGTGTGAGAAAATATAGTTTGAATAAGTGTAAAGGCGATTAATAGAGGGAAAAAATAGAGGAAAGTGAGGTGAAAAAAGGGCTTAGTGGAAAGAGATAATAGGAGTGGAAATTGGTTAGAAGTAGAGGTGAAAAGAAGTTAAGTATAAAAGGTAGTGGAGGTTAGAGTGAGTATAGAAAAGAAGAGCGTATGGAGATAGAAGCGCCAAAAAACGACAACGGGAGGGAGAGTGGTTTGAGGGAAAGATAGATAGGACGGTCGGTAAAGAAGGGTTCTGAAGGGAGCGCAGGAGAGGTAGGTGTGGAAAAGGAGGAAAAGAAGAAGGACAGAGGGAGACCG